AAAGACATGTGCGTTCCCAATGTTCTCGGAACTCGCGATCCCTCAAACACTCGCAGTCAGTGATCCGGAAGGGAATCTCGACATTCATGCTGCGGGGTGGAGTGGGAATCCATACATTCGGGGTGCTCGGCCGGCAGCCGGATCGGGGGCAGATCCTGTAGACCTACGTAGCACCGTGTGCATGTTCGGAGGCGAACGCAAACAAGCGCCCAAAACCCTCCGAATGCGAATATAACATAAAAAAAAATAAAAATAAATAAATAAATAAATAAATAAATAATAATAATCTCAGAAAAATCTGAAAAAAATATATGTTATGTAAAATAACAATACAAGCAACTTTTGTCTTGGAGTCATGTTCAAATTCGGAGCCAATCATGACTTAAAAATCAAAAACCGAAATTTGTTTTTCTTTTTTTTCACGATAAATATATATGTTTGCCCGAACATGTTCGCAAGCTGTTCGCGCGAATGTGAAGGGGCGCGAACACGTTCGCTGTGCTACGCAGTTGTAGACACTCGTGTACGCGATGACCTCCTTTGGCTAGGCGTACATGTGGGTGCACAAGATCTTCCTTCGATCAGGTTGGGTTGGTACATGTACATCGGCCCGTCGGATCGCCCAGAGGTGTCGCGGGTGGGCTCAGTGTGAAACAAACATCTAATCGACCGACATGCTCATCCATATTACAGAAAAGAAAGACGAGGAAACAACAAGCACTCATGCATCAAAACATACAGTTGCTCACTGGCCAAAGATCATACATGGATCGAGTGTAGGCAATCAATCAATCAAGTTGGCAACCAAGTAGAAGGAGAAAGGGGCGGGGAAGGGAATCACTCGTCAATTCACAGAAAGGGGAGGGATGAGGGAGTGGTCTCCCTGGCAAAGCAGACTCATGAGAATCGTGTTGGTGAGTACTTTTAGGCGAGCCCTGACCTTTTTGTTTTTTGAACGTCTGCGTTTGGCTTTCTGTGGTTGCGGTTGGGGGGGGGGGGGGGGCTCATGATCGTTATCCCCATCCTTTTTTTCTTTCTTTTTTTATTTTCTTTTTTTTTCTTTTCTCTTTTTTTTTTTTTTACTTTTTTTTTCTCTTTTCTCTTTCTTTCCTTTTTTCTTTTTGAGCCAACATGTCGATTTCAATGGCGGGGGGCAGTGAGGTGCATCCATTTGGACCAGGGGGGACATGAGGGTACTGCTTATATCCTCCTGTAATCTGGATCGTAGAAAGTCCGCCGTTTCCGGGGGGATGGTGATGGAGGGCGCAGGCCCCATTCCCATTGTTCGTTGTTGCTGTGCGGGTCGAGTTGCTCCCCCAGCTTGGGCAGTGCCTGGGCTCAGCGCTGTTTCCCTCCCAGCCTGGCGGGGGAGGGCCCGCTTGGTCGATTGGAAGGTGCCCCATTGGATCTTCTGTTGCTCTCTCCACCCCTTCTATCCGCACGTGTTCCTTGTAATTGAGGCCCAGGATCGGGGCCGAGAGGGCAATGATTTTTTGTTTCCAGTGTTCCAGATGGCGGACCTGTTTGTCTGCCCTTGCCCAGGTTCCTGCCGATCCTTTTTTGATGTGGAGACCTGGTCCGAGGCGAGCTGTTATGTTGCCAATTCTTGTGGGGTGGACATCCTCCTGCACCCTGGAGGAGCGGCTGCCCAGCTGAGAGAGACGATCCAGCGGTGGCGGGGTGGGGGTGGTGATGGTGGTGATTGTCTTTTGGGGAGCAGGGGAGGCCGTTGGACTTGATTGGCCTGCGTGTTCCCAGTCTGTTGCGCTTAGTCCCATCATCCCTTCTCTCTCACCTCCTTCCGTCCACTGTTTTGTTTCCTTCTCCTTTTCTCGTTGTTGCTCCGCACCTTCTAGTGTGACTTACTTCCGTCGTCCGCCCGACTCTATTGCATCGATCCCTTTTCTGGTTGGTGACTCTGTTTCTATCTCTACTGTCTTTTCCCCATCGTCTGCCTTCTCCATTCCATGCCTATCCTCTTTCTCTCTCCCGTGCCTTTTCTTTATCTCCTTACCTTTTCCCTTCACCTTGTCACGCCCTTCTCCCTGGCCATTGTCTTTGTCTTTGTCTGTGTGCTTGTCGCCCCCTCCCTTTTCTGTTACCGGTTCCCTGTGTCCGTCCTTGGGGTCGACCTTGAGGTGACGGTTATTTGAGACAGTGCCCGTCCTGGTCCGACCACCAGCAAGGACTGAATCATTTGCTGGTGACCTACCCGGCCTTCCTTCACCCTCCCATTTCCATTCCCCTGGTTTGCTTATTTCCGTCCTCCTGAACACCCATCTATCCATCGCCGGGTCCTCAGGCACCCATCTCCCTGGGCCGTGTGGGTGTGGTTTCACAAGGCCGCGCATTTGTCGTCCCTGTGTGCTCGGGCAATTCAAATCAGTGGAGAGGTGGCCTCTGATGGCGCAAGCGTAGCACCAGGGATCTTGCGGGTGGTTTACTTGCGCCGCGTAGGTTTTGCCATCCTCCTCAAACCAATCAAATGAGCTGAAGTAAGGCCGGTGATGAGGACGAGATGAACAGTGACCGACAAACACGTGAGAAACGGAGGGAGAAATACAGGATGGGGTAAGATAGAACAGTGGACTGCAAACAGTGTCCTAGATGCTCCTCACAGACAAACAACCTCATATCTTGATAAGCATGTGAATTTCTGGGCAGGGACGCTGGGCCCGATTTCCAGCAGGGCTCCCCACCAATAGATGGAGCCTTCAAAAGGTGGGGCATGCTTAGAGGGGATGCTCTTTTCACCCTTCTAAGCACACAACCCACACACGAAGTTTCAGAAAATCAGAAGAAGAAGAAGAAGAAGAAGAAGAAGAAGAAGAAGAAGAATGCAAGGAAGATGAGCATTAGCGAACTTCAGCATTTAAACAGCATCATACATATGAGCCCAGATAGTCTTGACCTCGAACCACAGCAGACTGGCACCACGAGATACACCAAATAGGAACATACCAAGAGTTCAAAATTGACAATGCTGAAGTAGTCCCATCATCATCAACTACGAACAAGAGTTGATATCCTATTGGCGCTCGGTGCCCAGACTACAGGTGGCAGATCCTATCTAACCTATACTACGAAGCAGAATGATGACATCAACAGCGTTCCCGAAGTACGAGCATATGGCGACCAATGTCGCACGCTTCAGCACCASGTMTGTCTCTCGTAACACTCACAACCCCGATCCACACCGCACAGATGCCGCTAGCACCCCAAGGACCACCCTGCGCTTCACCTAGCATACAGCAGCGCAGCTTGGCTATGGCTGCGTGCTCCCTCCTACTCGCCCGTGAGA